CAGACACTGAAAACAATTTTGCGACTTTGCTCAGTGATGTGCGAACTTGGCGCTATATTTCAAATTTCAGTGTTTTTGGTTTGATTATATTATTGAATTAAATGTAATATTATTATATTATTATTTTTTATGATTATTTATTAAATTATAATTTATGATTTTTGTGTTTCAAATTTTATCATACCCGGGATGTTTAATAGACTCTTGTTTGGACAGATGTCAGTGAGTTATTCCTAAATATTACAGCCTACAATAAAAAAAACTACATATTTCCATGCAAAATAATGGTACCGCTTTCAGCACCGAAAATCTGAAATAATCATACCGCTAGGGAGGTTAATATTTAGTTGTATAAGCACTGTTTCTGAGAACTGCTGTACATCTGTGTTGCATGGAGTCAACCAACTTCTGGCACCTGTGAACAGGTATTCCAGCCCAGGATGATTGGACTACATTCCACAGTTCTTCTCTATTTCTTGGTTTTGCCTCAGAAACTGCATTTTTGATGTCACCTCACAAGTTTTCTATTGGATTAAGATCCGGGGATTGGGCTGGCCACTCCATAACATCAATCTTGTTGGTCTGGAACCAAGATGTTGAACGTTTACTGGTGTGTTTGGGGTCGTTGTCTTGTTGGAACACCCATTTCAAGGGCATTTCCTCTTCAGCATAAGGCAGCATGACCTCTGGTATGCGCATTGAGCATTGATCCCTGGTATGCTATAAATAGCCCAACACCATAGTATGAGAAACATCCCCATATCATGATGCTTGCGCAACCATGCTTCACTGTCTTCACAGTGTACTGTGGCTTGAATTCAGTGTTTGGGGGTCGTCTAACAAACTGTCTCCGGCCACTAGACCCAAAAAGAACAATCTTACTTTCATCAGTCCACAAAATGTTGCGCCATTTCTCTTTAGGCCAGTCAATGTGCTCTTTGGCAAATTGTAACCTCTTCAGCACATGTCTTTTTTTCAACAGTGGGACTTTGCGGGGGCTTCTTGCAGATAGCTTGGCTTCACATAGGCGTCTTCTAATTGTAACAGGACTCACAGGTAACTTTAGACCTTCTTTGATCTTCCTGTAGCTGATTGAGTCCTTGCCATTTTGGCTATTCTTCTATCCATTCGAATGGTAGTTTTTTGCTTTCTTCCACGTCTTTCAGGTTTTGGTTGCCATTTTAAAGCATTTGCGATCATTTTAGCTGAGCAGCCTATCATTTTCTACACTTCTTTATACGTTTTCCCCTCTCCAGTCAACTTTGTAATCAAGGTACGCTGTTCTTCTGAACAATGTCTGGAATGACTCAATTTCCTCAGAATTTCAGAGAGAAATGCACTGTAACCAGCATGTACAACATTTGCTGCCTTCCTTCCTTAAATAAGGGCAATAATTGCCACCTGTTTTTTCAAAAAATGAATGCCCTCACTAATAAAACTCCACACTGCTATTATTTTGAACATGCTCCTTTCAATTAGTGATTCAATTACACAGAATCAGCAGCATGCATGTCATGACTGTTGGGTCTGTTGGATTTCTATTATTCTATTACATCTGCTAGTAAATTATTTGCCATGTAGAATTATCATTTTCACCAAAAACAGTGATTGATCATGTTAGTGATGTCTGACTGCTACTATTTTGAACACAAAAATATATATTATATATATATATATATATATATACACATATCTCAAAAGAGCATTCTAAAATAACATTAGAGAACAAAGCTAATCATATATACTCCCTCACTCACATCTTCAATATCTCCCTCTCTAACAGTGCCTTTCCCTCCCCTCCCCTCCCCTCTAAAGCATGCACACATCACTCCCATACTTAAAAAGCCCTCCCTGGACCCCACCAACCTGAACAACGTAGAACCATCTCCCTGCTGCCATTTACCTCTAAACTCCTAGAACGCTTAGTCTACAATCTCCTGAGCTCCCACCTCACCGACAAGCTTTCTGACCATTTACAGTCTGGTTTTAGCTCTCTACACCCCACTGAAACTGCCCTACTAAAACTCACTAATGATCTACTAACTGCTAAAACCAATGGCCACTACTCCATACTCTTACTACTTGACCTCTCTGCGGCTTTTGATACGCTTTACCTCCTCCTCAAAAAAACTCCACTCTCTTGGCCTCCGAGACTCTGCTCTTTCCTGGTTCTCCTCCTACCTATCGCAATGCTCCTTCAGCATTACCTATAACTCTGCCTCCTCCTCTCCACTTCATCTTTCTGTAGGGGTCCATCGAGGTTCTGTCCTTGGACCCCTACTCTTCTCCTTCTACACCTCCTCCCTTGGTCACTTGATAAACTCCCATGGCTTTTAAGTACCATCTCTATGCTGATGACACACAAATCTATCTTTCTACCCCTCACTTCACCCCTTCAGTCTCCTCTCGCATTACTAACCTACTAAGCGACATATCAGCATGGATGTCACTCCACTTCCTCAAACTCAATTTTTCCAAAACTGAGCTCTTAGTATTCCCTCTAGCCTGTGCCCCCCTCCCCTGACTTATCCATCAAGATCAATAACGCAATCATCAGTCCCTCCCCTCATGCCAGGGTATTAGGTGTAATCCTAGACTCCCATCTGTCCTTTCAGTCCCAAATCCAATCGCTGTCCAAATCTTGTAGACATTTCCTCCGCAACATCTCCAAGATACGCCTGTTCTTAACCTCAGAAACAATTAAGCAACTTATTCAAGCTCGTGCAGACTCCACCTCCACAACATCGCCAAAATCCGCACGTTCCTAACCCCAGAAACCACTAAACAGCTGATCCACTCCCTCATCATATCACGACTCGATTACTGCAACTCCCTCCTTACTGGCCTGCCTCGCCGCTGGCTATCCCCGCTTCAGTCGATCTTGAATACGGCAGCCAGACTCATTCACCTTTCCAACCGCTCCATCTCCGGCACCCCCCTCTGCCAATCCCTCCACTGGCTTCCGATTGCGCAACGGATCAAATTCAAAATCCTAACACTGACGTACAAAGCCGTCCACCACACTGCCCCGAACTACATCACTGACCTAATATCCAAGTACCACATAGCACACACACTCCGCTCCTCACAAGACCTCCTTCTCTCTAGTTCCCTGGTCTCCTCCTCCCATGCCCGCCTCCAGGACTTCTCCAGGGCGTCACCCATCTCTGGAACTCCCTGCCCCAACCCATCAGATTATCACCTACTCTCTCTCTCTTTAGGCGCACCCTGAAAACCCATCTCTTCAGGGAAGAATACCCTACCCCCTGCTAATTTCAGACCTCCTCCACTCTTCCTACCACTCCATCCCCCACAGCTATCTCCTCCTGTGCCACCATCCCCTCCCTCCTAGATTGTAAGCCCGAAAGAGCAGGGCCCTCAATCCCCTCATGTTTTGCATTGTATTGTTATTGTTCTGTCACATGTTCTGTCCCCCTTTGTAATGTACAGCGCTGAGTGAACTATCGGCGTTTTTATAAATACTGTATAATAATAATAATATTCACTCCTTTGTTATATCTCGCCTTGACTATTGTAACTCCCTCCTCATTGGCCTACCTAATCGCAGGCTATCTCCTCTTCAGTCTATCACGAATGCTGCTGCCAGACTCATCTACCTTACTAACCATTCTGTATCAGCCACCCCTCTCTGCCAATCCCTCCACTGGCTTCCCGTTGCTCAACAGATAAAAATCAAAACGTTAACAATAACATATAAAGCCATTTATAACTCTGCCCAAATTACATCACCAATCTTGTCTCCAAATATCACCCAAAACCATACTCTCCGCTCCTCGCACGACCTCCTGCTCTCTAGCGCCCTTGTCTCCTCCTCCCATGCTCATCTCCAGGACTTCTCCAGAGCTTCCCCCATCCTCTGGAACTCTCTACCCCATATTTATCAGACTATCGCCTACTCTGCTCACTTTTAGGTGATCTCTGAAAACCTATCTCTTCAGGGAAGCCTATCCTGCCCTCAGCTAATAATGGAATGGAAGTATGTTATGCTGCTTGTAACATCGTTCAGCATGACCATTTTGGTGGTGGGTCAGTGATGGTCTGGGGAGTAATATCCATGGAGGGACACACAGACCTCTACAGGGTATACAATGGCACCCTGACTGCCATTACGTATTGGGATGAAATCCTTGGACCCATTGTCAGACCCTACGCTGGTGCAGTGGGTGGGTCCTGGGTTCCTAATGGTACACGCCAATGCCCGGACTCATGTGGCAAAAGTATGCAGGCAGTTCCTGCAGGATCAAGGAATTGATACCATTGAGTGTCCCCCACGCTTGCCTGACCTAAATCCAGTAGAATACCTCTGGGATATCATGTTTTGGTCCATCCGATGCCACCAGGTTGCACCTCAGACTGTCCAGGAGTTCAGTGATGCCCTGGTTCAGATCTGGGAGGAAATACCCCAGGACACTACCCATTGTCTCATTAAGAGCATGCCCCAACATTGTCAGGCATGCATACAAGCATGTGGGGGCAATATAAAATATTGAGTACCATTTTGAGTTGCTGCAATGGAATTTCAGCAAAATGGACTAGCCTGCTGCATCATTTTTTCACTTTGATTTTCAGGGTGTCTTTGAATTCTGTCCTCTGTATGTTGATAATTTTCATTTTCATCAAACAATGGGGCATCCTTATGTTCCTAACACATTACCCAGTCCATATCAGTATAGGTATCCAGCATGGTATTTTTCCCCATTGATATCTGATGTGTTTTCAAAGTGTTTCTTTCATTTTTTTGAGCAGTGTATTAAGCAGTAGGAGATTAGTGATGATTCAAGTGGTATTACATTCTAATGTTAAACTTCTACTAAACCCAGGACCCAGCATTCACTATATCTGGTCTCCCACAATACACAGAACATAGAAATAAAAAATTATTTTAGTAAATATAAACTGCTAAATACTGTTTCTCATCAGCAGGTAGAGCAGTTTTGTGACTTCTATCAGTGTCCAGCAGAGCACTGGTTAACGCTTGTAGGAGGAGTTTTCATCCTGCTATAGGAGGATGCAGAACCCCTGACCTCTGTCTGGACAGTGCTGATTGGCCCTGTGCTGATCACATGTACTCTCCCAAGAAAAAAAACCTTTCTAGCAACCCACACCAAACTGAGCATGTGTAGAGTGACTCCACATGATATGTCTAACCATGAGATAAGAGGGGGGCACTGGAAGAAGGGGAGGATCAGAGAAAACAGAATCAAACAGCCTTTTTACACAATGCAGAGGATTAACCCCTTAAGTTCCACAGTGAGTATAACAAGAATGCTTTACTGCATATACAGACTGATTTTACTGTTGTGGGTTTCATAACTAACATCATAGAATCACTTACCTCAAACGTGTTTGCTGCTTTTTTCAGTCAGTCATATTTATTTTACTATGGCAGAAATAGCCAAAATCATGTATATATATATGTGATTTTGCAAAGGAGTGTCGCCCTGTAGCAGTGCAACTGCTATAGGGCAATCTTAAAGTGGTTAAGTAATGCACCTGCTTTTTGTTGGTGTGTGCTAGTGATGGGAGATGTATCTTCACTGCCAAGTGTGTAGGAGAGAGAGAGTGCATGCTCCTGAATGGAAGTTAAAGAGTATACCCATTTCATATTTCTGATATCTGCCTGCTGTACTATGTACTTGTATGAAAAGTATACCGTTCTCTTCGTATTGTTTCCTTTATGTGAAATCCCTGGTGTTCCTGCCAGTCACTCTGCTTTTCTAATAAAAAACGACTACACTAGGCAGGAGAGCCCAGCATGGACTGTTATTTAACTATGCTGGAACTCATCCTGTTTTCCTCCAATAATAGGACTTCCGCTCACATACCCCACTGCACAGCCATTCACTGGGATGTTCAGTGTTCTGCTGTTTCTTCTCCCCAGTTCTCAGCTGCATAAGAAATTTAGAGGGTATGTGATCACTTATAAAACAAAGGAAAAAAAGGTATTTAGAATGGGTTTTTTTTTATATCTACACACAAATGTTTAGCCTTTAATTTCTATTTCAAACTGAATGGGTTGTTTTAGCTGAAGGTTATTCTTTACAGTCAGGCATTGCACTCAAGATGGAGCTATAAGTAAGGAAATTCAAATCGTATATCGAGTATATGAACCATAATCAATATATAAACCATATATTCACCATGCAAATGAGATGTAAAAATATATAAAAAAAGAAAAAAAATCTAACACCTGAAAAAATGCATAATAAATCACTCACCGAAGTGAGTGCATAAAATGTGTAAGCATGCAGCTGCCCTAATATTGAATGATGCAATAATCACCTCATGAACCAATGATGAATAAAAGCAGGGCAAACATTTTTTTTATACATATATAAAAACCACTAGCAGAGTGAAAATATGACACAAAATATACCCAACCCTTTGGTAAAGTTAGGTGACGAAACACGTGTCAAGGTCGGGGCACACAGATACCCTTGACGGTAATTGTGGATATTTTGTCATGCTTTCATTTATTTCATGTGAGTGCAATACTTTCTACCCAATAAATGGTTTTTGATGGATTCACGCTATGAGGTTCCTTTTACATCTTTCCCTGATTACGGAGTGTAATAGTTTGGAGGATGTCCCGCCATCATATCAGTCTCTAATTGATGAGGGGCTTGTTGACTGATGATCTGTACTACGCTGACACTCACCATAAGCGCTATTGCCTATCAGGATTGGATGGGCCATGATATCTGGTGAGTGCTACTGAATTGGGGGAGGTTTTCCTCTGGAGCACGTTGTGATGTGCAATTTACTCAATCAATTATCGTTATGTTGCTCACGTGGTGATTTCAGTGGATCAATAAGGACTTTACACTTCATCGCAATTTTCATTTTTCAGTTGATGGACTTATGTCAAATGATTTAATTATTTGTGTATATTTACAGTGCTATATTTTGTGTCATATTTTCACTCTGCCAGTGTTTTTTATATATATGAACCATAATGCCATTTTTATTGTCATTAAATTCAGGTAAATGGAGAACTTGCTTTTACATTAGAGATGTGCACGATGGAAACATTTGTTTTGTTTTGGATCTGTTTGTTAAGTTCATAATTTTGTTTTGTCATATTCATTATGTGAAAATGATTTATGTTTGGAATTTGTTTTGTTTATTCAGATTTGTTTCATATATTCAATATTTTTAAATTGATATGAATTTTGAAATTTTAATTTGAAAATTAAAATTTCATAAGATAGCTATATTTGTTTTATATTATTCTATTCTAGTCTATTCTATTCCTTTTTCTATTCTATTCTATATTATATTTTATTCTATTCTTTTGTATTCTCTTCTCTTTTATTCTATTACATATAATTGTTTTCTATTCTGTTCAGAACTAAATAGAAACAGGGTGTGTAAATAAAGTTGAGGGGGGGGGGGGGGTGTTCGGTGGTTATGAGGTAAGGTTAGTGAAGAGGAAAAACTGCTGCTGTATATTACCCATGTCTGGAATGTATTCATGCAAATTATTAAAAGGATTTTTGGGGCTCCAAATGAAGAGGCCTTTGTCCCTCAACAGTGGAACAAAAGTACTTTTTGTGTGTGTTTGGTTGGTGAGGGGGTTAGGGTAATTTGCTATTATTATTACAGGTACATATATAGCGCTGTCAATTTACACAGTGCTTTTACATATGTATTGGACATTCACATTGGTCCCTAACCCTCAAGGGGGCATACAATCTAAAGTCCCTAACCTACGTTCAAACATATACTAGGGCCAATTTAGACAGGATCCAATTACCCTACCAGCATGTCTTTGGAGTGTGGGAGGAAACCGGAATACCCGGAGGAAACCCACGCAGGCACAGGGAGAACATCCAAACTCCAGGCAGGTTGTGCCGTAGTTGGGATTTGAATTGATGACCCTAGTACTGCCAGGCAGAAGTGCTAACCATTTAGCCACTGTGCTGCCCTATTTAGCATACAGCAGTAAATTTGTAATGAGAAAGAATTGGCTGAAATGTACTAGAGTCTGCAGATGACACCGCAGAATTACAAGACCGCAGATAACACAGCAGTGTAGACCAGCAGCAGGACAATTTAAATGAAAAGTCAGGTTGTACAGCCAGGTGTAGGGTGAGCTTAAAAGTTAGCATCACAAGACAACTGCGATTATCTATTTAGCTTCAAAGTCTCTTCTTTGTGCTTCTCTAAATCTTAGCTTTACTTTGTTAGTAGGGGCCTGAGTTCAGAACTAATCCCTGCCAACTGCCCCTCCTCCCAGTACCATGAGGCACTCCTAGATTGTGCCTCCTTTAGTGTCTTCACTTTTAGGCTAGGTTCACATATGTGCGGGTGGTGCCGCTGTGGATCCGCACAACAATCAGTTCAGCCACACCATCCATACAGAGGAATGCAGGACCCATGGGTGGGTGCCATTCTAATGTCACGCCGCCCGTACTGGAAATCGCAACCGTACTAGGACCCGAGATTCCTGTGCGGGCTGTGTTTTCAGAAGAAGTACAGGGACTTCTTCCCTGCGTGTCCCAGGGTACGGGAGTCCATTCAAATGAATGGGCTCTTGTGCTCGCACAAAACACGGACCGCAGGAACGCACATATGTGAACCAGGGCTTACAGACTTTTCCTTGAAACAATAAAATTTGCTGACAGGATAAATTTAAGAAACCTTGTTGCTTAGGATCTCTTTATACTGTAGATGTCGATACCTATATTTTCTACACCTATATTCTGTGCCTTTCCTCACTGTAATAACACTTTAGTTATCCAAATATTTGGAGAACAGTGGTCATTTAATTTTAACAAAAATAAATGATGCACTCCTTATGACAATTATTTCTGGATAAGTGTAATGCACCATCAATTTTGTGTGAACAGCGTGTTTCCTAATTCCTGTTAAACAGTTTCCTAGTGACGCATAAAAGAAGTATGCGTCACTGATGACACTGATGTTTCGTAACAGTAATGGGGAAGAATAAATAATTTTCATGTAGACTATAGTGTACTGTTGAAGAAAAACGGTCAACATAGCTCTGCTTAGTTTGTAGACATATTTGTACTAATAACTTTTGCTATCCTTTTGGCTGGACTGGAAAGTAGGGAAATATGATTTTTTTCCTTTGTGCTGCAGCCAAAAAACGTCTCTGGATTGATATGCAGCACAGCTGATGCTCTGCCTCTGCTACTAACTGGGAAAGCACAACATTAAAGGAGGCTAGAGTTCTAAAATAAAAAAAACAAAAAAATTTATAAAGCCAGATGATTGAAATACACTGAGTTTTCCTAGTAACCCTCCTTAATCAAACAAAAGTTAGTGAGTTCATTCTGATGAACACCAGTAAGCACCACCAAGACATCTCCTTGGTTTAGCACTTGGAGAATTATTTATATCCTGATACTACGAACCCAACACACTAGTGAAATTCACTAATATAAGCCATCATAATGTGTAAAAAAAAATCCTGATCCCTTGCCCAGAGTAGTACAGTGTAACTATGGTAGCACTGTATTGCTCTGGTCACAGGGGTAAATACAGTGTGTGTATATATATATATATATATATATATTATATATATATATATATGTATATTTTTTTTTTCAGCTTGCCTATACAGTCTATAAAATCTTAGCATTGTCAGACTGCAACCGGAAGTGTTGCTACTGGCACAATCTCCAAATATAAAATGCTACAAGAGACTCACCAAAAACATTTGCTAAATAAAACATACAATAAAATATACAATGAGACATGATGCAAAGTATACATATTTTTATATACATATTACACAAACATATAGAAATAAAATAAATAAAAATATATAGCCCATTAAGCCATGTAGCAGCAGGTTATTCCTTCAAAAGGAATGTACTGCAGGAAGTGTCCCCAGCAAAGGGAAACAGTGGCCATGTTTGTGGATACCAGGAGTGCAGAGGAGGACTGCTTTTGGCTGCTATAACCACAACTGGAGCCCTGCCTACATAGACCAAGCAAAGTTGAAGTTGAAGTGTAGTCCCCTTAGTGGTGAGGCTGTGGGATGTGCAGGGAGATATGAACTAGATCTCCTGGCATACCTATGGGAAAGGGAGTATGAGAGGTGGAGCCGAGCAGGAAAGGACTGCTGTACTGCCAGGAGCCTGTTGTACCATATGAACTTCAGTGTGCAGGGAAAGAGAGCTGCAGGACAGTGATGGTGTAGCCCTATTTGGGGGGGGGGAGCAATAGGAACAATTGGAAAAAGTGTTGAAGTTGCTTCTTGAAGAGAGGCTGAAGCTTTCTGCCAGCCACCTGTTGCTTATTTGGGACATGCTGTCTCCCCCGAGGGAGTGGTCACTGACCCCA